TATCCTTCTCCCTTGCTCTCTGTAAAAAATCAATAAAATATATTTTTTAAAAAAATCCTGATATGGCTCCTCAGGGCCTTGCCTAAGTTTGCTTATGTCTAAGCAGCAGTCCTCAACCTGTGGGTCAAGAACAATGAAATACATCCCACATACCAGATATTTACATTACGATTCATAACAGTAGCAAAATTATAGTTATGAAGTAGCAACGAAAATAATTTTATGGCTGGGGGTCACCACAACATGAGGAGCTGTATTAAAGGGTCGCGGCATTAGGAAGGTTGAGAACCACTGGAAAGACTTTTCCCCTTTTGTTGGTAGTTGCCTCCAGGCTTTGGTGACATATATTTATCTGCCGATAAGCTCGCATGGGGTATACTAACTGAGCCTGCAAAGCCCCGTGAGGCCCGGTGCCCATGAGCATATAAATTGTAATGGGCACCCCATGAGCGTGGTTTCTGTTAGCCTGCTCCGCACTAAGCTCTGCACTACCTTGCACTATACACTGAGGAATATATTAGATCTAAACATAAAGCTAAAACTATAAAACTTCTTCAAAAGCACAGAAGAGCCCTAGCTGGTTTGGCTCAATGGATAGAGTGTCGGCCTGGGGAGTCAAGGGTCCCAGGTTCGGTTCTGGTCAAGGGCATGTACCTTGGTTGCAGGCACATACCCAATAGGGAGTGTGCAGGAGGCAGCTGATCAATGTTTCTCTCTCATCGATGTTTCTAACTCTCTATCCCTCTCCCTTCCTCTCTGTAAGAAATCAATAAAAAATATATATATTAAAGGTTTACTGAGTTGGCTGGAAAGGCTGCAGTGGGGTTAAGGATAAGACTCCTTGGGCCTACCTTCCCCCATTATATTTGCCTCTATTTACCTTTCCTTCCTCAGAAAACCATGGGCAGGTTTTACTCACAAAACCCAACAAATCGAAAAGCATAGCCTTAAGCATTGGATACGTATACATTCTTTTCCTGCGATCCTGAATTTCCCATGTTTTACACTGAACTTCACTCCTTACCTTCCTTCTTGTTTTCTGCACGTGCTTCACTGGCGTGTCCTTTCACCTGATAACTGTAGTTCCCCTGAACTCAGGCCCCGCGTTGGGCACCACATGTGCTGGGCCAGCTCAGCCAAGGGTTGGAAAGCCTGAGTGAGGGTGGCGAAAGGATGGAGAAATGACAGGCAGAATAAGCTGGGTCTAGGGCTCTAGGTGGATCTTCCTGTGCCTGGCTGAGGCCACAGAGAGATCCAGAGGCAAGCTGAGCCTTTATTTTATAGCCAGAGGTAAACAAAGTAGTGGTCACCATAGTTACACTGTTCTTGTGAGTTTCACTTGTTTTGCAGCACTTGCTGCACCTCCCACAGCCCATTAATTACCTTGGATGGATGAGGGAGCTTCATAAGATCAAGCCTAATTATGCTAAGAGGACTGTGCCCTCTAAGCAGCACTTGTTTGTGGCTTTGCCAACAGGTCAGTCTGAGGCTTAACCCTATAGCCGCGCCCTACAGCCCTGCAGTGATTGACCGAGACGGTGTAAAAGTGAGGCACAGCTCTAGCGGGTTAGAGCGGCAGCCCGCCCACTGGAGGGTTGCAGGTTCGATTCCAGTCAAGGGCACATACCTCAGTTGCAGGCTCATCCCTGGCCCTGGTCAGGGCACGTGCGAGAGGTAACCAATCCATGTGTCCCTACCCCACCCTTCCTCTCCTGCTAAAAATAAATGGAAAAAATGCCCTCAGGTGAGAATTAACTCAAAACAAAACAAAAGACCTGGAGGCACAAGTGGAAGCTGCGCTCTGGCCGGTGCTCCCAGTGCCTTGGTGCTAGTTCAGGGAGCCCCTCTCAGCAGACAGCCACTGGGCTGTTTATAAAACTCATCTCGCCGAAACCGGTGTGGCTCAGTGGATAGAGCGTCGGCCTGCGGACTCAAGGGTCCCAGGTTCGATTCCGGTCAAAGGCATGTACCTGGCTTGCGAGCACATCTCCAGTGGAGGATGTGCAGGAGGCAGCTGGTTGATGTTTCTCTCTCATTGATGTTTCTGGCTCTCTATCTCTCTCCCTTCCTCTCTGTAAAAAATCAATAAAATATATTTAAAAAAAATAAAACTCATCTCCCAGGAGAACTCCTTCTTGGGGTTCATAAATGAATTTTGTTGGGCCCACAGCCTGAGCCTGCTCTCCTTAGCCCTCCATTCTCTCCCTTCGTCTGCCTTCACCTTAACAGAACCCAGAAGGCAGACGAGTGGTTTGCCACCCTGGCTAGAGCAGGTCTCTGCTGGTCCCTCTCTGAGCCCCTTCAGTTGGTTTTCCCAACCGAGCAGCACCCACCTGCCCCGCAGGGGTGGCGTCACCGAGCGGGCTCAGCGGCCCTCGCTGGTCGTTCTGCAGCCGTGTGCACTCAAACGGCCTTGTGAAGGGCCTTGGCCCTGCACTGCAGTGAAGTGTATGTGGCGAGTTTGTGAGCCCAGCCCACACTGGTTTCAGGAATCTGAGATTTTTTAGTGAAAAAATCTAAGAGCAGGAAGGTCAGAAAGCCAGGTCTGACATTGCAGCCCGCTTCCAGTCTCCTCCAGGCCGGCGCAGGGCAGGCCGAGGAAGCCCCAGCGAAGTGCAGCTGCCTACCCTGCAGGCCTCCAGGGAGGCTGGGCAGGGAGCAGGCTTGTCTCAGCCCCGTCCGCACGGAGTGTTGTTGGAGGTCAGCTAGGGCTCCAGACAAACTTAACTTGCCATTAAGGTCCTGGGTCAGAACCAGGCAAGCACAGGGCTGACCCGACTCAGATGTCGGGCCACAAGCCATCGGGGACCCAGGACCCAGGGACCTGCCCCTCCTCTGGCTCTCTCTGGAATGCCCTGGCCCAGGCCAGAAACAAACCAAACAAGGGGGTGGTGTTGAGGGGGTAACCGGGGAAGGTGTTTGGGGAGCCGCTGGGAAGACAGGGGCAGCGGGACCTCTGGCCTGGCCTGGCCTGGAGGGTGGTGAGCTGAGGAGCCTGGGTGTGGAGGGCAGGTGAGTCCCAGGCCTTCCCTTCCCCTCCCAGGGAGGCCATCTCCTTGGCAGACAGATGCGTGCATGCCACGGTGCTGGGAGGGCTCTGTCTTGGGGGTTGGGGAGATGGCTGGGGAGGACTTCCCCCTGCTCCAAGCAGTTTCTCCACCCCCACAGGCCCCTAAACCCATCCTTCTGGGCAGTTAGTGGGTTCGAAGTGAGTGCAGCTCCAGCCCACTTCCCTGTAGCTGTTCCAACAGGCCTTGGGAAAGAGCTGAAATGCATGAATCGTTGTCCAGAAACTACATGCAGATGGCACAGCAGCGATACAGGCTCAGAGGGAAGATGGGCTCAAGCACCTCAGGGCACCTCGGGCCAGCCAGGAGAGGAGACCACTGGCCCGGCCCCTCAGAAGGCAGGCGCCCCGCACGCAGCCGAGGTGCAGATGCCTGAAGGCGGCAGAAGTGTCCAGCCTCAGGTGCCGGCTTTGCAAGCTGTAGGGAGCGCCCCCCTAGCTTCCCCGGGGCTTCCATTTAGGGCAAGTTTTGGGAGCAAACTTCATACCTCTGTCTCAGACAGGCGCCTGAGGGCCACGCTCTGGGCCGGCAGCGAGCCCTGAGGACACTCAGGAAACAGACCCTGAGGGTGCGCTTGGGGCAGGCTTCCCGCACCCAACCCCCAGTTGCTCTCCAACTCCTCTGCATCTGTCTGCCAAGCACCCCCCACCCCCAACAAAGCCTTCCAGGGCCCTGAGGGGGTGGGGTGGATGTCAGGCTTGCCGCCTGGGCCTCCAGAGGAAGGGGGCAGGATACCTGGGCCCCAGCAGGGCCCGTCTGAGGCTCAGTCTTGGAGGGGATTTGAGGTGGGCTCCGGGAGCTCTTTTAGCGGCTGTGAGGGGTTTTCCTGTGAGGGGACTGGGGCTGGGGGGTGGCAGGAAGCTGTCCACAGGGGAGCCATCCAGGCCCATTCAAGGGTTGAGCACTTGTTTAGGGTTAGAGCTGCCCCCTCTGGGGACCTGGATTGTCCAGCCAAGGCCATTGTCCTGCCCCCTCCCCCTAGTCCCTCCCAAGCCTCTTTGAACCCGAAGTCAGATATTTTCTCTTCCCCTCCCTCTGGGCTTTCCCCACCCAGAGCCTGGGGCTGGAGGCTGGGGCTGGGTGGTGGGGGAGGGAAAACAGCCCTTTAGGTACTGGGATATTCGGGTCCCACAGTGAGGGGTGTCGGAGCCCTCTGTCTGGACAAAGGTTGGGGAACCCGTGCACAGCCAGTCCAGAGCCTGGCCCTAGAAGGGGCAGTGGGGGTCGCCCCTGAGTCCAGCGGGTGAGGGGCTGTGGAGTGGAAGCCCCGGGTGTGGAAAGGAGGCCTTGCCCGGCCGTCTGTCCTAGAGATGGGGTGGAATTAGCAGGCTGCGCAGAGGGCAGCAGCCGTCCGCGGCTTCGGGGTAATGGAATTTGGCCAGTAATCTGGATGAATGCCTGGGTCTCTGGACTGGGGGTGGGGGCGGGCACAGGGTGCTGATGAGGAAGCGAGGGGTAGCCCGGCAGTCCTGGTGCGCACGCCGTGAATGTGGAGGAGCGGGCCCCAGTGCGCAGACGGTGCCAGGGTCTTTGGAGAGGGGTCAGCCCCTGGGCTCCTGAAGACCCTGGAGAAGATGTGAGGGATCCCAGACGGCTTGGAGGTGTGCAGAGCCCGAGGGAGGGCCGGGCAGTGGGGCAGGGAGTTGGAAGAGAACGTCCTAATCGGGGACTGTGCCAAGGGGCCCTGGGGCTGGGCCGGGGGACTCGCCTAACGGGGGCTCCCAGACATTCCGCTTCCACAGACACCCCCGCTACCAGCAGGCAAACACTACGCCTCAGTTTCTCCCACCTCCATGGCTCTCTCCTCCCCCTCCCCCCTCCCCCAGGGGGCGGGGCCAGAGGTCAAGGCTAGTGGGTGGGGTTGGGGAGGGGGTGAGTGGCGAGCAGTGCCTCGGAGAGCCCTCCTTCCACCAGGCCCCCGGCTTGGGGCGCCGTCCTTCCCATGGCGGGACACCTGGCTTCCGACTTTGCCTTTTCGCCCCCACCAGGTGGTGGAGACGATGGGCCAGGAGGGCCGGAGCCGGGCTGGGTTGACCCTCGGACCTGGCTGGGCTTCCAGGGCCCTCCTGGCGGGTCTGCCATCGGGCCGGGGCTGGCGCCCGGGGCGGAGGTGTGGGGGATTCCTCCGTGCCCCTCGCCGTACGAGTTCTGCGGGGGGGTGGCCTACTGTGGGCCTCAGGCTGGAGTGGGGCTGGCCCCCCAAGGCGGCCTGGAGGCCCCCCAGCTCGAGGGCGAGGCCGGAGCCGGGGTGGAGAGCAACTCCGAGGGGGCCTCCCCCGAGCCCTGCGCGGCCCTGAAGCTGGACAAGGAGAAGCTGGAGCCCAGCCCCGAGGAGGAGGTGAGTGGGGTGCAGTGGGACTGGGTGGTGGCTGGACGGCAGGGGCGGCTTGCGAGGGCAGGGGAAGCGGCCCCTGCAGCCTTCTTGGCCTGGAACCCGAGGGGACCTGCAGGGACCGGGTGGGAACCGAGGCCAGAATTCCGGCGGAGCCGAAGGGAGGCAGGGGTGCGTGGCCTCGGGGAGTCCGAAGCTGGCCCAGGCTGGCCTTGCTTGGCGCCTGGCCTTCGTTGCCAAGCATGTACCTTCCACTTCCTAGGCCTGAACCAGGGTCTGGTCACGACTTATTACAGCCCAGCGTCTGACCCAGCTTGGGGTTTGAGCGCCTGCTCCCACCTGGAGCCTCCCTGGATAACTTGATCCTTATCTTACCCCAATGCCTGAGGGTAAAAACCCTGCTCACTTCTCCCTGGGTTATTGTTCCTGAGATTGGAGGGTGTGGCCAGTTTCTGTAGACGCTCCGTTCGGCATGTGTGGCCGCGTGCGGTGGGTTCACCTCCATCCAGTTCAGGCCTGGTCTCCCATGGCTTCTGCCTGGGCCAAGAGCCACCTGGTGCAGAGGGCACCCCCGCACCCCCTCAAGAGCGCGAAGTACCCAGTGCAGCGGAATTTCTTAAGCTTTGAACTCGCCCCTCCAGGCCCTTCCCCAAAGGAAGGCCCGTTCAGTCCTGCCGGGACTCCGGGGTGAACGGTCCAGCCCTCCAAAGGGACCAGTGTAAGCAATTAGAGATCCCGTCGGGAGCCTCCGGCCAGCGAGGAGGTGTGAGCGGTTTCAGCTGGCCTCCGAGCCCTGCCTCTGGCTGGAGGCGACTGCTGAGCCTTGAATAATAATGGCTGCCAATTGCTGTCCATTTCCTAAGTGCCTGGCTGTGTGCTCGCTTCTACATCATTATCTCATTAACGGCCACAGACTCTCCCAGGGAGGTATTATTAGCCTATTTCACGGTCTTAAACTGCTAAATGATAAAGCGAGGATTTGAACTGGGGTTTACCTTATTTCAACCCCGAAGTAGGATTTGGAAGAGCCCTGATGGGGACAGCTGTGGGTTTGAAACCTTGGCTGAGCAGGGTTGGCAATGGAAGGGCGCGGGCGTGAAGTTGATGTGATTGATTACCCTTGAAATACTTCCTCAAGGCTTCCAGGACCCCACAAAGGCCTGCCTCTTCCCCGGGCCCCTGGCCCACCCACCTCTCTTCCATCCACCTTTCCTTGCTCCCCTCCACCCTCAAGGCTCAAGGGCCTCGCAGACTTGACTGCTGCGTTTTCCATCTGCTGGGATGGCTCTCGGAGCAGCTGCACCTCACAGGCCCAAACCAGGCATCCTCATTTCCCCAGTCTCCCTATGTCCACTCCTTTGGAAACACCACTATCTTTACCTTGGAAATGCACCCCGAAATCAATACTTACTACCACCCTGTCCCAGCCACCACCATCTGTGCCTGGAAAACTGCAGTTGCCTCCCTAGTTATCCCCTCACTTCCTCCTTAGTCTCTTGTCACCATGTCAACGGACTGAACACCTTACAATGTGAGTCAGATCATTTCATCTCACTACAACGTCGGCAGGGTCTGCCCTACTCACCCCTCTGATCTCCTAGCTCCTCCCCCTCCCCTTTCCTCTGCCCGCTCACCCAGCTCGCCTAGCTGCTGCCTGGCTGCTGCCTGGCTATGCCTGCCCGCCTAGCCCGCCACCTCAGGACATTCCCACTTGGCTGTTTCCCTTTGCTCAGTGCACCACCTCCATCTTATTTAAATTGTCCCGTATGCCCCACCCTCTGTGCTCTGTGATCCTCTTCCTGGGTTCACTTTTTCCACGGTATGTGCTGCCTCCACACTAGCATGGAAACTCATGAGGCCAAGGCTTTTTGTCTGTTTTGTGTAGCCACTGGCTTAGAGAAGGTGTAGAATAAATCTGTTGAATTAATCACTGAGGATGCTTCCATATTGCAAAAAAAGATATAAAAACAAGAGATAATTGGCTTTTTTGGGGAGTTCAATGACCACACACCCAGGTTTCAGGTTCAACAGCACTACCATTCCCTCCCCCTCCCCTCCTCCTCCCCTTCCCCTCCCCTGTTGGGAGCCTGGAGCCTACAGGAGGCTACCATACATGTTCCTCTCCCCCCACACCTACACCTCTCTAACATCAATTTTAAAAAGGGGGGATAATCAGCTTTTGAAATGCACCAGCCTCATACGGAGCACTTTGTTCACACCTCTTACACACCTGTAACTTTCTGTGGCGTGCGTGTGTGTGTGTGTGTGTGTGTGTGTGCCGGGTCATGGTCTGGGACCCCACAAGCTGGGAGGTGGCATTGAGATGAGAGTTAGAGGCTGGTGCCCTTGGTTTCTCTAGGGCTGTTCCTCCAGCAGAAAGCCTCTGAGTGTTAGAGCTGCCCAGCAGGGGCTCCGTGACCTGCTCTTTCTAGCATGTGTGCTGCTCAGGGTGAATGACGGCTGTAGATGGGTTGTTTCAGGTGTTGGGTGGGCGGCCTGGATGCAGAGGTGCTCCCACAGACCAGTCCTTGGGGCCTGGGTGGGCAGGGGTGGACAGTGTGTGCCTGTGTTCTTACACATCCTCTGCCTTTTTAAATGCTGTTGCAGAACATGAGAGCTCTGCAGAAGGACCTCGAGCAATTCGCCAAGCTCCTGAAGCAGAAGAGGATCACCCTGGGGTACACCCAGGCCGATGTGGGGCTTACCCTCGGCGTTCTCTTTGGTGGGTCCCCTCAGCATGTGCTGACCATAGAACAAAGCGACCAGCCTCCCCTGGGAGGGGCAGTCCTGATCCTGGGCCTTTGCTACCGAGGGAACGAGGGCCGGGTTCCGGGCAGGCTCTGCCCTTGCCCAGGACGAGGGTGCAGAGGGAGGAAGAGATTTGGGCTGTGCTCCGTCTGGGAAGTGGGATCCTGGTGTGGGACCTTGTGAGCGTGGGAAGAGGTGGTGACACCTGGGTCTCGGGGTCATGAGGGCCTGGCCCGCTGCCTCACCTTGTTTCTCTTTCAACCCACCTCCCAGGCAAGGTGTTCAGCCAAACGACCATCTGTCGTTTTGAGGCTCTGCAGCTCAGTTTGAAGAACATGTGTAAGCTGCGGCCCCTGCTGCAGAAGTGGGTGGAGGAAGCTGACAACAACGAGAACCTGCAGGAGGTGAGGGTGGGCGGTGCCCCACGTCCACGGCTTCCAGCCTGGCTGGCAGCTCTGCGTCTTGGGGCATAGCCCTCCGTCGGGGGAAGTGGTTGCTCAGTGCTGCTGGGCTGGTCTGGGCCTGCCCTGGCAGGATCCTTCTTTCTCACCTTCCGGCTCTGGTGACACCTCCACCAATGCCCCTTAGCAACTTGCTCTTGAATCAGACCTTGTGGGTTTGAAGCTTGCCTCCTAGCTCTTTGTCACCCCCTCCCCACCTGCCTAGATATGCAAAGCAGAGACCCTGCTGCAGGCCCGAAAGAGAAAGCGGACGAGTATCGAGAACCGAGTGAAGGGCAACCTGGAGAACATGTTCCTGCAGTGCCCGAAGCCCACCCTGCAGCAGATCAGTCACATCGCCCAGCAGCTCGGGCTGGCGAAGGAAGTGAGTGCCGTCCCCAGGGCGCCCTGCCCGCCTTCCCTGCCCCAGCTCTGGTACCTGCCCTTCGACCTCTCTGGATCTGTTGGGTTTGGGCCAAATGACCCACCTGGAGTTTATGAGCAAGTCCCTCTCCCTCCCCCACCCCCAGGTGGTCCGAGTGTGGTTCTGCAACCGTCGCCAGAAGGGCAAACGATCGAGCAGTGACTATTCTCAACGAGAGGATTTTGAGGCTCCCAGGCCTCCTTTCTCAGGGGGACCGGTATCCTTTCCTGTGGCCCCAGGGCCCCACTTTGGCCCAGGCTATGCGGGCCCTCACTTCACTGCGCTGTACTCCTCGGTCCAATTCCCTGAGGGCGAGGCCTTTCCCGCTGTGCCCGTCGCCACTCTGGGCTCTCCCATGCACTCAAACTGAGCTGCCTGCCTTCCCAGGCCGGGAGCAAGGGAAAGAACCCGCGATTGTCCCAGGGCTTTGGGATCAAGTTCCTTTCACTATAGAATTGGGAGCACAAACGGTGTGGGGCAGAGTTTGGGGAGCTGGTTGGCGGGAAGGTGCAGTTCAGTGATGCTCTTGATTTTAATCCCGTCACTTTGATTTTAATAAAGAAACCCGGGACACAGTGGGTGCAGACTTGTGTCTTTGGTTTATCCTCTTCTGGTTACTGAGAGGGAGGGGGCGGCATGCGGATGGCCCTGAAGCCCAAGTGCGGAACCCACTCGAGTCACAGAGGCAGGGGAGCTGGCCTGGAACCCACTTCAAGGCCCTCAGAGGCCAAGCCGGTTCTCGGAGCTTGTGACCCAGGGTCTGAGGGAATTGGAGTTGAGCTTATTTCTGCCCACAGATGTGGTTACTTATAGGCTAGTGATGGTGAACCTTTTGAGCTTGGCGTGTCAGCATTTTGAAAAACCCTAACTTAACTCTGGTGCCGTGTCACATATAGAAATTTTTTGATCTTTGCAACCATAGTAAAACACTTATACTTTTGATATTTATTTTATATATTTAAATGCCATTTAACAAAGAAAAATCAACCAAAAAAATGAGTTCGCGTGTCATGGGTTCACCATCACTGTTATAGACCATTCCCTACTAGGAGCTGGCTCCTTGCTTCCCCCATGCTACTTTGGAAGTCCTCGGTGGCATTATGCTAAGAAATCCAGTCTTTAGGGACTTATTTCCTCTGCATAGAACCCCAGCTAGAAGCTCTTCCTTGTGCTTTCTCGGTGTCAGGGTCCATGTTTCCCTCCATTTTGCCTGTCCTGTCCATGAGTGACTCAGCAGACCCTCCGCGCTTTAGTCCTGGCTCTGCCGCTACCACATAGGGGTCCTTGCTCTGGAACTCTTTCCTCTGGAAAAAATAGGTTGGTAAGCCGTGGTAGGAGTGGAAAGAGGGTGGGCATGTATCAAGATAAGGCAATGCCCCACACGTGGGCTGAGCTGACACAGGCCCAGGCAGCAGCTGCTCTAGCTGGTTTTCTGCCCTGGTAGTGCAGGCACACATTGGCACTTCACAGCTGTACTTTTTCAAATCAAAGGTAAGACCCTCCACCAGTAAAAGATGACGGCTCACTTTGTTGCGGTGGTCTGGAACCGAACCCGCAATATCTGAGGTCGGCCTGCACTGGGGAAGCTGGTACAAGTTCTGCCATCTGCATGAAACTGCCAAACCCCAGCTACCTAACTGTAAGGGCAGCGGGTGTTTTCTTTTAAACTAGAATCCTTCATTACCTGGGTTTCTTTTTTCAGGCTCCAACTTCATCCCATATATTTGCACTTTTTCAGTGAGCAGGTTTGTATTTTTCTACCTTTTCCACTCATCTCCCCTTCCCCTAAAAATTCATGTTTTCCCAACCTTTCCAAGTCCATTCTACCAAGAATTGGAAAGCAAGGTGTACCAGACCCACAGAGGAATAACTACCTAGCAGCAAATTAATATTTTCATTCTTTATTTGGAAACGGAAGCAAATCTCCGAAAAGCCAGGCCACAGGCTACAAACATAGTCAGCGGTAGGATTAGAGTTTGGGGGCTGTGCCCTAGGTTTTCCCAGAAAGCCTTAGGTGGTACCATCCAAGTTGAGAACTCACTTGTTTGGGTCTGGGGCTTATATCTTCAGGCACAGGTGGTCTCTGTAGTTGATGATGCTCTGATCAGACACTAGTGTCCGTGACAATAAGGATCTATGACTTGTAACGGAATTTACAGCTCACTAGCAACTTCCTGAAGGCATTATCTTTGGCAGGAAGCCATCCCTTCTGTGACCTTGGCCGAGAGGGCCTGTTCCAGACCTGGGATCCATAGCGATGGGCCCCTGCCCTGTAGTCATTCCCTCCTGGGGAGGCAAGAGAAGAGGGATTTCTTAGGACCCACTGGTGTCCCACTGTGTCCACCCATGGCCAGCTCTGTCCTCTGGCTCCTTGGTGGTGGGCCTCAGGTCTGGACGCCCATGTGACACCCTGGGCACCGGAAGTCAGCCTCCCTGGCAGCCTGGATACTGCAGCCAACACAGGCCACGTGGAACCAGAGGTCACATCCATCACACTGAACCCAGGCCACTGTTTCTTCTTGGGGCAGGCCGCAACAAGGGGCTGCACAGGGCTCCCCGCCCCCAACCACAGGTGGAGTCATGGGGGTGCTCATGGGGTGCTTCGGAGGATGCCCAAGTCGATTTCTGAAGAAAAACAAAAACCTGGGTCATTGAGAACCTGTAGGAGAAGCCTAGAAGTTTCCCTTGGATGAAAATAGTGGGTCCAGATAGACTCACCAGAATAGTGGTGAACCTGGTTGCTAGAGCTAACCCAAGTCTTGCCATTCAACCTGTCTGCCCACTGCCCACCTCATCCCCAGCCGAGGGCCACCTCCCAACCTGAGGATCTAAAAAAGAATCAAAAGGTAGGGAAACAAGACCGTGATCCAGCCACTTACCCACTGGGTGTCAGTGGAGACCTCTCTACACAGAGTTTCTTCCTGGGCTCTCTAAGGACTGGGGGGCTCTCAGGAGCCTCTCTCTCATCATCCAATTCTGCCAACACTCGGTGAGCTGATTTCCTTCGATTTCTTGGGGTTGGGGCAGAAGGGGTGGTCCCCTCTTTCCCATGGGGAGTGTGGGGAGGTAGGCTTGGTGGCCCACCCCCCCTCCTGGAGAAGGTGAGGGGCTGTGGCTGGAGCTTGCTGAGGCTGCCAATGGAGTTGAGGATCAGTGTGGCTTTTGGTGCAGGGGACAGGGTGCTGAGGGGGCGCTGCGGAGCCCCCTGGGGAGGCAGCATGGGCTGGAAACCAACCCCGGTTCCCTCTTCTACCCTAGACCGTGGGATGGTAATGGCAGCGAAATCTTGAGGTTTGACTCGGACTTGCTGAAACATGAAGTAGAACTCCGAGGGGCTGGTTCCTGGGGGCCTTTCAGGGCCAAAGGTCAGAAGGTCACCATCGCTCAACTCCAGCCTGTGACCCCTAGGGAGTCGGACATTGTTGACCAAAGTCCCTGTTGATGGGGCACCAGACAGATACAGGGAATGACAAAAGCACATGACCGGTTAGGAGTGGAGAAAACGGCCCTGACTTTCTGGGGAACATGAGAAAGAGGATACCTGACATCAAATCCTCACATGCTAAGTCCCTCGGCAGGTGGCATCAGACCCTAAGCTCTTTCTGAGCTGGGAACAGGTGTGTTCCTTCTGCCTCCCACAGAACATGGGAGGGAACATTCTATTGAGGTCCAGTGTCAGACATGCTCACCCTCATCCAGCTTCCACTCAGCATAGCTCAGGCTCTGGGTTCCAATCCTGATGCCACCTCTTACCAGCTCGGTGACCCTGGACAAGGCACACCTCTTTGTGCCTCATTTTCCTTGTCTGTAAAATGGGGATGTTAATGTCCATCTACATTCCATGAATTTAAAACAGTGCCTGGCTTAACAGTAAGCACTAATGAAGGTGCTACCATAGTTACCCCCACATGCTCCTCAAACGGACTTTACAAAGTCCTTCCATTTCACCCAAGAGGAGAACTAAGACCCAGAGACGTGAAGTGAGGCCTGAGGCTGGCTGTGACCACCTCCACGGCAGGGAGTAAGGCACACGCCCATATCATGAAAACAGTGAGACATATCCTAACTGCCCCAAGACAGGGACAAGTGTCTCAGCAAGTCGGGAAACAGAGTCATCCGAGCTCAGGCCCCCCCAGTGGCCACACAACACCCCCATGGATATTTCCCTGATGCTGCCCCAGGCTCTGGAACCACCTCCTAGCCCCTGTGTGAGCTAAATGGAGACCAACAAGAGTCAACGCGGCATGCTTCTGGTGGAAAGACGGGTCTGGACTGCCTTGTCCACCCATCCATCCAACCCGACAGGGAGGCAGGAGGGTCCCTGTGGAATCCCTTAATCATTCCATCCCCGAACTGCTGACTGCTCACCTTGGCTGCTGTGGTCCTCCAGGCTGACCCTCCAGTCATCACCCTGGCGCTCAGCGTGCAACTCTGCATGCACTCCGGAGATGAAGCCGGGCTCCTGTTGGGGCCGCAGGGCCACATCACACAGGTCGGCCCTGCGGCCCAAACGATAGGTGCAGCCAGTTCCGCTTGGGGGGTGGAAAGTGTAGAGGTCGCCGCCCCCGCCGCCCCCGATGCGCAGCAGCTGGAAGCAGGGCAGCATAGGCAGTGCCACTGCACACCAGCTCTTCCACGTCAGGGCTCCATCACCGCTCCCCCTCCTGGGCCATGCACGGGGGTCCGGGCTCACGTTCTGTCTGGTGCAAGCTTGAGTTGTGCTTTGTGCAATTTCAACTTTGGGCACAGTCCCTGAGCAAATTCAGAATGCAAGGATTCTAGGCACGCGATGCAAAATGGCTGTCAACAGCTCCAAAGCGGAAAAAGTCGGGGCAGTGCACAACGAGCACGTCGTAAGGCACCTTGGATGAACCGGATCCTCAGGCCGCAGAATTTCCCGGGCGCCTTCAATCTGTTCGAGGCAACATACCGTTAGGCAGCTTCCGGGGAACTGCAAACCGGCGCGCTCCTAGTTCTGCAATGCTAACCTGTCACCGCGATGACATTGGAGACAACAGCTCTGTCCTGTCAGACCCGCTTATCCAAATGGAGTAGCCAGCCCTCCTGCTCGCCCGCGCCTCGCTCTCGGGCCAACCCCTCCCTCACAACTAGCTAGGTTGAAACCAGTGGGAAGTGACTCTACTGTCACCTCCAAAAAGGCAGAGAAAACGGGTCCCTACGTTCTCCAAGACACTGGTCCTAAACCCCATCTGCCGGCTTCTCCGGGGGGTGGGGTGGGGGGACAGAAACAGCTCCCCGAGACGATGCGAGGCAAGCCCAGCCTTCTGCCCACCCCAGCCCGGTGCCGGACCTACCGCGTGGTGCAGTCTCGGAACGGTCTCTGCAGGCAGTGCCGGCGCGCGGCGTC